AAAAATCAATAATTTTCAAATATATATTTATTTGCACACACATATAGGTATACATTCATTAAACATGTACGTCAAATAATATTTTCATTTATCCTATATACAAGATAGTTAAGGTGGAAAGTTAAATAGAATCAGTTTAACCTTTGTCAACTTATACACGAAATCAACTTTAAACATTACCTTAAGTGTTCAATTTTTATTTTTTCAAGTTGAAATTTAATCAATCAATATAATCCACAAAAAAAAATCAAAACTAAGTGCAACAAACCATATAATTTATTCACCTTCTACATTTTAAAATCGACTGATTTTTGGACGACCATATGAATATAGTAGGTTATTTTTAGGTTAAATATACAATGTAATTAAAAATCTCATAGCACAATATTTAATTTTATTATATTACATATAATTTTTAAATTCATATATACCATAAATTATAATTGATAATATCGAAAAATCATAACTCTGTTGTGTTTAAATTTATAGACTTTAAGTCACCGTCATTTATTTATGAGCACACATATATTTTCATTACGATTTCGAGAAAAAAAAACACAATAATATGCGTACATTTTTATTTTCTACCGACCGTATTGTGTATACAATAGGTAGGTTATGTGATAGCAACAAATTTTGCATATCGAGTTTTCGGTGGGAATGCACTTCTCCATAGTAGGGAATCGTAAATAAATTATTTTTAGCAACCTGTCGGTCTGTCGGTATGTGTGTGCACGCGTGTATCTCAAATTCGGCTGAACCGATTTTGATGAACTTTCATATGTAAGTTTATTTCGACCATGGCACGGATTGATCAACTTTTGGGATATATCAGGCCTCGCGAACTGCACTTTTTAGCGGGCCTGTTTTACATTTTTGACCATTTTAAGGAAAATATTCAACCGATTTGCTTGAAATTTCATGTATATTACATAGGCTTTGCTCGACCGTTCGCGAAACCTCCTAACTTTTGGAAGAAATTAAGCGTCAGCAACTGGACGTGTACTACGGGCCAAATATGCATTTTGCGTATATAAAGAGAAATAATCAACCGATTTCATTGAAATTTAATATTTACATTCTTTGTACTAAAACAATAAATTTTTAGTACAATTTTATAAATTTTTTGGAAAGGTCAGAGCTCGAAGACTTATTTGCGGGCCGATTTTATATTTTTCACCATATCTACGGAGAATTGATGGAATTTCTTGAAATTTGTTTTTTGAGTTCTGGTTGTTACCGAAACTAACTGACGAGCATTTCAGGGAATTCGAATAGCACAAAGCGAAAGTCTACTAAGGGCCAAATTTAACTATAAGCTTACTAATGTCCTAAAAATTGGAAAGAAGTATTTAACAGACATTTTTATAATATTCTGTAATACTTTCACTTAACTGGACAATACACATTGCGGTCGGTTATGTGCTGCCACATCAGATTTTATTTTTATCTTAAGTGGCAAATAAAATAGAAAAGAAAATCAATTTTATTTTAGACTCTCAATTGGTTTTAATAATTATATTGTAATATTTTGACAACAAACAAAATTAATTCGTTATGTAAATAAGTAATTTATGTATTTAATTCGAATGCAAGTACAACAATTGCCTCGTACGTGATTATTATGTTAGCGTTCTATAACGTCCCATATGTGATTATTATGTTGTTCCGCACAAATGCAGGAATGCATGACATAAATATAGCTTATTAAATAAAAACATAGACGTTTGCTAAAAAATTATTCGAGACTATCAAACAGATAGCGTGTTACTCAGAAACTTTTCGACCGCACAAAGATTTCTTTCCGGACACCAACATTTATAGGTTCATATGCGTACCATACGAACTTAAACTTTCAAAATTTTATGGGGTAGAACCGCGAAGTTAATATAAATTATAATTCTATTTTAATGAAATATCATTCGGGAAAATCTTTACCGCCATAATCTATATATTAAAATAAAAGAAGGATAGTAATAGCTTACACAACCAAAAGTCAGTAATATCGATCCAAAAAAGTTTCGTTTGAGTTTCTAAAGCTTGGGGAGAAAACAATTAGGAATGTTTTCCTTGTTTAAGCTCTCAAAAATTTTTCATTAATAAATATTTAGAAATCAAATCTTAAAGAGGTTGAGTTAAAAAGTGTAAGGCGTGTCCTATCTCTTCCACTCTGTTTCCTATAGAATCGCTTTCATAACACCCTGTAAAATATATTTAACCTGCATCGAATATAATACAGTTTTTTTTTAACATAGAACAATGTCATATTCCTTACAAACTATTCGAATAATTATATGCATTTCAATAATTACATAAAATCATATGACTTTGTTATAGCTACAATTAAATATTTTTATTACACATAACAAACGAAAAAATAAATTGATTTAATATCATTTAATTTGAACTCATACATTATCTAACAAATGTCAAAATATAATGAATGTGGGTATTTTGCTCAAATTATTCTAGTTATAATATCATTGAATTTTACATAAAAGTTTTATGAAATTTGAATAAATTTTATTGAAATCAGATTTAATTTAAAATAACAAATACGAAATTTCATTTAAAATTCGGTCACCTGTAAAACATATGATGTAAGTACAAGGTAATACAAATAATTAATCTGATAGCATAAAAACTTTGCAAAACCGCTGATTAGTCGAGGACTTTGTTGAGAATTAGTGCGAGGACATTTGGACCCGAAACTAAATATTTTATGCCAATAGAAACGTATGTGTGTGCGCTTTAATCTTGAGAGAGGGTATCGAAAACGACAATACTAAGCTATCTTTGTATATCATATTTCCTGAGTTACCAGTAAAAATTTAAAAATTGGATTCAGAATGTCATTACCATTGACTACCATTGAACGTCAAACACTCTGCACATATTTTAACAAGACTTAATGAAAACCATCTACAATTTTCAAATTAAATATTTTTCTAATTAATTAACTGCACGATATGCGAAATTTTGTTATAGAAATAATTTTTCACACACATATTCACCTTAGAACTTGACAATACTTCACAAAAACTTGGATTTTTCGTTTAATTAGCAAGTAATTATACTAATGGACCTACGTTTTATAGAATTATATGAAGAAGCTTAAGGGTAAAGTCAACAGCTTCTTAACATATTTAAATGTTTGTTAAATGTTGATTATTCTGATTTTAATAATTTTGAATTGATTAAATTAATAATTTGCGAAAAATTTTTATCGGAAAAATTTCAACTACATCAACAAGTAAAGAATATACGATGTTGCTTACAATGGGAATTTAAAAATATTATAAATATTTCTCAAAAGTTCGATTTTTATTAAAATTAAAACAATAAATTTGTTATAAGATTTTAATTTCATTTTATTTTTATACAAGGTGTTAATTAATTTGTAAAAATTGAGATATGCAAATTCCTTATTAAAATAATTAACTATACACATTTATACACACATACGAAAATGTGCAATTTTTATTACTATAAAAGTAGAAACAGGTGTAAATAATGCAGTTTATATCCAAAATTGTTTATACACCATTTATTACATGAACGCAGGTATTGCACCATAGAACTCCTACTAATTATTTTCTAGCATGGAATTAAAAGTAGAAAAATGAAAAACATAAAAGAAAATTAATTTTAATCTCAAATAATCCTTTAATATTAATTATAAATCAGCAAACAGTAATCATTTGGTAGTTTTCCCGATTAGTTATGTTTTATGTTTTCTCCTTCAATACATACATGAGATTTATGAGAAATTTTTGGAAATTTTGAACAAAACTTACAATCATATTATGTATTGATCTTATAGCCTCACAATAGTCAAAATTGAAAAACAATTTTTAATGTTAATATTTCATGTTTTTTTTTCCTTTGAATCGCTTTTACATTTAAATCACTTTCCGAGCACACACCAATTTTTCTAGCGCATTAGCGAGCATTGGAAATAAATTTACGTTGTTAACCGAGACTGTTATTTTTTTTTTTTTTTTTCCTTCTTCACTCCTAGGAGGAGTATAGGGCTAGTGCATGATATCTATCATGCCCTAGTTTCTATAGTCATAGAGAGTTAGCTAGGTAGGTGACTAGCCTACCGTAGTTTTTATTTATATTAAATATTTCAGTTTATTAATATTTACTGTTTATTTTTCTTAATCTTTAGTATCGAATATTATGAATATTTGAAAATTACTTGAATAATATTTATTATTATAGTATTGTACATTAAGTTATATAATATTGAATATGATTTTTATAGTGACCTGACCGGGGTTTGAACCCGAGACCCTTCAGTTAGAGGGCCGGTGCCATAACCACTGCACCAATGGTCAGATACCGAGACTGTTATGCTTGAAGTTTATTTTAACAATTTTAAGATTAAAAACTAAAAACCAATTAGCATTTAAACTTTGATTCAAATCGAAAATACTTTGACTTGTAACAAATTTTTCGTAAGATTATTTTTTCGTATATTATGTGATTTCGACCTAAACTTAGCTGAGCTATAAAATATGCAAAATTTTTACTAACGAAATTTTAGTAGTTCAAAGGTGTAAAGTTCTTGCAATAGTGTTCCATTAATCAACATATATTTTAGAAATTTTTATGTAGGTGATTATAGCCGCAACAGAAATTAATTATTGAATTTAGAAACTTTATGGTGGTCTGGGTTAGGATCAACAGGGTAGGCATTGACTGGTTGCTAACCCAATGTTGCAACTGTTGAATTCCTGGCCAAGTGCTTGCTTTACCTCCTAGTGGTGACCGCTGGTAACTGACTCTCGAACAACCGTTGGAGAGTAAGGCCGAAATTGCAAGTGCGTATGTCATCTTGAAGCAAGGCTAGCGACCTACTCCAGGATGTTAAACTAAATACAGCTCAAAGAAACAACAACGCCTCGGATAACAAGATTAGATCACATGGAAATGACCCGGCTCGAAAAAGGACTAGATTTGGAAACAATTTAAGAATAGCAACATGGAATATTATGTCATGGAATAAAAAAGAACAAGAAACACTCATCGAACTCAAGAAACACAAAATAGATATATGTGGAATATCAGAAACTAAAAGGAAAGGTAAAGGTTCTGTTGAATACGAAGATTTTGTCTTCCTGTACAGTGGTAAAGATAAAAATGAAAGGGCTCAGTCGGGTGTAGGAGTACTAATAAACAAAAAATTTGAAAACAGCATTTGGAATGTACAATACATAAATGATAGGTTGATAATGGTTACATTAAGCTATAACACTTGCAACTTACATATGATAAGTGCTTATGCACCAGATATAAATAAGCCTATAGAAGAGATCACTGAGTTCTACGACAAGCTACAAGAACTTATGGATACTATACCAGAAAGTGATAAACTCGTGATTATGGGAGATTTCAATGCAAGAATAGGGGACGAAATATTGAATGGTGTTAAAAATCGATTCAATGAAAGCGTTATAAATGAAAACGGAGAAAAACTGATCGAATTCTGCTCTCAAAACCTGTTAAGGTTAAATAATACATTTTTCCCACATAAACCCCAACATAAATATACATGGTCGAACACGAGGGGACATCAGTCGACAATTGATTACATTATAACGAACCGATCAATATTGCCATCACAAATATTAGATGTTCGAACACTGACTTCGGCTAATGTAGGGTCCGATCATGGCCTTGTATTATGTAAAATCAGGGAAAACATACCACGTTCTAAACAGAGAAAGCCAGAATATATCGAGAAACTTAACGCAGAGTCTTTAAATACCGACAGCACCAAACTACTTTATGAAAACAGGTTGCGCGATAAAATCTTGAACAGCCCAATAACAGAAGAAAGTAGCGTGGAGGATGCGTGGGAAAAACTATCTTCCAATATCATAGCAGCTGCTAGAGAAGCACTGGGAACAAGAAAAGTAAATATTCATGCAAATAATATAAGAACACCTTGGTTTACAACAGAAATTAAAATATTATGTGCCGAAAAGCGCAAAGCTTATTTGAAATACATGAGCTGTAAGTCTGCAGAAACATACAGAGAGTATAGGGTCGTAAGGAATAGGACCAATCAGAGGGTCAAGGAAATAAAAGAAGAACACTGGGCTTCATTCTCTGCTGATATGGAGCATGACCTATACGGAGCTCAAAAGAAAGTATGGAGTATGCTAAGAAAACAGAAGAAACCTATTTCGGAACTGTTTCAGATAACAAATATAACTGAGGAAGCATGGATTAGTCACTTCACACAGCTGTATAATTCCACAAGCATGAACAACCCTGAAGTCCTCGTGATGGAAAATGCAGAAACTGACTTCACGATTGATGAAAGTGTGGTAGCACTCAACATAAAAAAACTAAAAAATCGGAAGGCTCCCGGTCTTGATGAAATCACAAATGAGTTGCTAAAGTATGGTGGGTCGGAACTATCATCGGAAATCTCAAAACTCTTCAATATAATATTAAAGCACGAACTGGTTCCTATTGGATGGAAGAATAGCATCACTATGCCCATTTTTAAAAAAGGTGATAAAGCTGATCCACAAAATTATAGGGGTATTTGTTTGCTAAGTGCTTTAGTTAAGCTTTTCACCAAAATTTTATCCCAAAATATCACAGAAACAGCGGGAATAAGCGAAGAACAACAAGGTTTTCGTACAAATAGATCGACCGTCGATGCTATATTTATTTTGAGCCAAATTCTTGAGAAAGCAATCGAATACAACCATCCAGCTTTTATGTGCTTTATCGATTTAGCAAAAGCATTCGACAAAATAAGGCTAAGTGATGTGTGAAATATATTGGACGAAAAAGGCGTACATCCCAAGGTAATAAGTGTCATTAGAGATTTAAATACTGGAAACTTGACAAAACTAAAAATAAACAAAAAATTAACGGTGGATGTACCAGTACAAAACGGTATAAGGCAAGGAAACTCTCTAAGTCCTACTTTATTTAACCTAATAATGGATAAAATCATAGACAGAGTCAAAGAAGTAGATGCCGGATATACGATGGGCGCACATGTAATAAAGATATTATGTTACGCAGATGACGCTGTTATTATGGGAGAGAATGAGGACGATGTCCAAAGACTCCTATTCGCCTTTACCAACGCAGCAGAGTCCTTTAATATGCAGATTGCTACAGAAAAAACAAAGTGTTTGACAGTATCTAAAACACCATTAAGGTGCAAACTGGTAGTCCATGATAAACCGATTGAGCAAGTGATGTGCTTTAAGTATCTTGGCGTCAACATCACATCATGCAGAGATTTAAGGACTGAAATCAAAGGTCAAGCAAACAAAGCATCGTTAATCTCTGGATGCCTGCGCGGTACTGTTTGGAAAAATAAGTACTTGAGCACAGCTGGCAAGGTTAAAATATATAAAGCCTGTATGAGACCCGTTCTAACTTATGCTCTAGAATGCCGAGCAGACACCTCAACAACCAAGCAGCTACTTAGAACTACAGAAATGAGGACTCTGAGGCAAATAACTGGTAAAACCCTAAGAGACCGAATAAGAAGTGCCGACATCAGAAAACAATGTGACGTGCAAGATGTAGTTCGATGGGCGAGACGGAGAAGACGTGGTTGGAGAGAACACGTAGAAAGAATGGACGAAAATAGACTTGCAAAGATCGCCTATAACAACATTCCACAGGGTCGCCGCCTCCCTGGACGCCCTCCAAAAAGGTGGCGAGAATGCTGGACGAGCCAATCTCAAGAAGGCGCTGTTTAGAACAGGACGTAGTCCTATAAAAAGATGAAGAAGAAGAAGAAGAAACTTTATTGTTACTTCGGTCTTGTAATGCACATTCACGTCGTTCATATAAATCTGAGAAATTTTAATTTTAGTCGCTTGTTGAAGTATGAAAGAAATTGTCAAGTAATCTAGCGTAAGGCGACATGTGCATCAATTTCCTGACCATTTAGATTGGAGCATTTATATCAAGATTTATTATAGAATTCGTAAAACTTTCAATATTTTCTATATACTCGTATGGATATGCAATGATAATTCAGGATACTCTTCAAGTGATTGTAAACACAAGCTTTTAAACGATGAAAAATAATAAATATCGGGAAAATACTACTGCTTACCAAATATATATGTGTTTGCGAACCAAATAACATAATAAAATTTTGCTTGAAGTATGTAACTATATGCATGTGTGCAAAGTACTTTTATTTGACACACATGTTTATCCAAAAGTAAAATCATACGTGCATACAAATTTTTCTAACGTGTATATACGTATATACAAACATTTCCACATAAATAAACTAGTATCTCTTATTTTAAATGTTAATTTATTCATCAAAAAGTAAAACGTCGATCCATAATAGAATTTTACTAGCAAAAACAAAATACAACAAAATTATTTAGTATAATTAGAAAATCTAAAAAGTCTTTGAATTTAACTAAATAAAATTCGCTAATTAAAACTTGAATACTTTTCTTAATCTACAAAAGGTAAATTAGTACAAGTTGTAATTTCGTATATTTCTATTTTTCAGGCTATTTCAAAGTTAAAATTTAAACATCTATATATAATCAACATACATACATACATTTCGATATCTCAAAAAAGTAAGTATTGCGCAGAAACTGCACAATTTTTTTTTATAATCCCAAAACGAAATCGAAATTACAAAAAAAACATGTTCAAATCTGAATTTTAATACAAAATAATTGAATTAATACTTTGGTTAACTCAAATTAAATGATTTTTGTCCTTCCAATTGAACTGAAGTCAATCAATAAAAAATGTTTTATGTTTGGCACAAAGCAAAAGCAACAAATTAAATTTTCTTACAAAGTAAATGCCCGTAATCACAAAATTTATTCGGTCTTAATCATCTTTAAAAAATAAATCTTAATGATTTTTGTTCATTTTGCCTGTGTTTTGTTTCACTTTTAATTAATACGAGTATAAAAATAATCAGAACATAAAGTTGTTCCTTGCAGAACAACATGAAAATTTTATGATTACGAAGAAACTGAATTTATATTTTAACTTGGGAGTAAAGTAAAAATTCTGATGAATATATAAGAGTTTTATGACTGGAAATCTAAGGTCAATAATATTACTCTTTAATTCGCTGAAATTTGGCAAAACGTCGTTCATTCAATATCAATATTTTTATGCTCTCATATACGTATACTTACATGCACACAAAATGTTTACTTATATAATATCTGAACCATTTCCAAATTAATTAAAAAATTTTTTTTTGGGATTATAATATTATATTTGAAACTTCGTGTGTCGTAACTTAAGCCATTATCAAAGCAAAATGTATCCCGAGGGTAATGACCGAAAAAACAAAATCTTTTAGAAATTGACAGTTTGATGTTTGGCATTGAAAAATTTTCTGACTGCTGCTTTCAAATAGCTCAATTGTATGTCAGGAACTTTAACTGTTCTTCGAATTATTGAATAACAAGAGCTCGTAATGGCGTTCGTACTTGTACTGTTCTAGTAGGATTTAATTTCGTAATTCTCAAGGGTTAATATTAAAGAAATATATATAAAAACAATAAAATATTTAGAAACATCAAAGTTTATGCCAATAATTTCAAATTCAAAATATCTGCCGAAATACCAGTTATCCGTAAAACATTCAAAATAAAATAAACTGACATCTTCTTTAAAAGAAAAAAAAGAAGAATATTTCTACACTAAATCAGTATGACTTTTCACTTCTTTACAGTTTCAGGCCGTTGACTTCTTAAAGTTAAAGGTCAGTTTCTTAAATCGGCATCCATAAAATATTGTTAATACTACATACATACACACATAATATTAAAATATATTTAAATTGAAAATATAAAATACAAGCATGAATGCATAATAGGCATAGACCTGCTTTTCTTAATGCTCCCCATATACTAAACGTCTTAATTGATACCCAAAACTAACTAGCATATAACCTGTTTTTTTTTTTTGCTTTAAATTTATTCATACATATGTATTTATTGTGTAAGTATTCTTTATTTATATATTTTAAATTCACCTGTATACTATAAGCTCTTTAAATCAAAAACAAGAAAAACAACAAAATTCACCTAGCGATAAAAACGCGTATACGCAAATTAAATGCAGGTCGTAAATTTAACAAAATTATTTACTCCTTGTCGTCTATTCATCTACATATCTACCCATCTATCCATCCAATAGTTGATCTACTTCATATAGTAATCATTCCTATTACAACTTGTATTTTGTAAACTGTTTACACATAAATAATATTGCAAAAATAATAAACAAAACATAAAAAAAAACAACAAAATATGCACCCATAACTAAAAGTAAAAAAAAAAGAAAAATTTTACAAGAGTGCTGTCACGTAATCTGTCAGAATTAAAAGTATACAAATGACATTAATGTAAGAAACAAAAAAGTATTGTCGGTTGCAAATCGGGTACATGTCGTGGGAAGACAAGACTTTGTAAAGAAAATTAATTTTTATTGAAATATCAATGATTACATACACACAGCCTACAATGTATTCCATTTTAGGCACATATAGAAAACGTATAAAATTTATTTCAAAAATTACAAAGCATATTATGATATCTATGGATGCAAAACTATGGATATTAGACAACTGAGGATCTGGATAATATTGGATAAACTAAAACATCACCAATTCGTAATATTGCGAAAAAATTATTTTTGAAAATTAAAACGAATTAGTAAAATGGAGAAATTAAACTATTAAAAAAATTTTGTTGATAACGCGGGAAAGCACCAAATTAAATAAATATGTTTGAAAGAAGCTATAAAATATCATCATTTATTAAGCACTAATATTTAATATTTCTGACCCCATACAAACAAATTCTAAGTCTTTTCATGTTATATAAATTAGTTTTATATAACAAAACTTCTATACATAAAACGCATGCGTTTTCACACTACTCCAAGTTTCCGCTTTTATTGGTCTGATTCTCAATACCTACTTTCAAAACAGGCACATTTATCCAAGAATTTTCTTACATTTTGAATGCAACCATTTTAATCCTTCGAACTTCACATCGCGATCATTTTGTAATACCTTATTCCAAACAGGGACCCTTTCTATGATGCTAATTTATTGGGTCCGTAATATCAGGCTACTAAAAAATACACACCAGTCCCACATTAACGAATGTTATATACATATATTTTTTTCTACCACACATTGTCGCTAAATGGCATGTAGGCAATAACACTATGAAATTTTTCAATTTCAAATACATTGGAATAAATTTTAAGAAATACAAAAAGCATAATTCTTACCGACCGCATTGCATATAGCAAGGAAAGATGTGTAATATAGAACCAAAATCCGCATGTCGATTTTTAACATATCTTTGAAGCGTGACTTCTTTTAATTTGAATAAAAGCGTGAAATTTATTATTTGACTTCTTTGCTACCAGATCTAATTCAGGGACTTTTTACAGAATACATACAGTATGATGTAAGTTTATATTAATCAAAAGCTTAGGAGCATCCTTAAAATTTTAAAGAAGTGTTCAAAAATTATTTTCATAATATTGTGCAGCACTCTCCGTGATCACATCAATTTTTTTTTTTTGTTTGATATTTTCCCATAATGCAACAATATATTATTTTGTTTAAAAAATTTCTGAAAAAAAGCATTAAAATGTTTTAATATTTCTACAAAAAAGGACTATTAAAGCTACAAGTGGGTTAATACAAGTTCAGTTTGTTTTAACTCATTGTACTAACCATCTGTACTAACTCAAAATTAAATAAGAGAGTATACTCACACATTTTCGGCATTATTATAAAGTGTTTATAACAACTGCTGTAATAATTCGTGCTAATTATGTAAATTAAAAATGTAACAAATATGGATAAAAAAAATATTTTACTATCTATGGAATAATCATAAAATGAACAATTTACTTTGAAAGTGACATAATTAATAAGTCCAACAAATCGATTTGATCTGTCATAGCATTTTTTAAAGCATGAACCTATGATCTTTTGTACCACAAAAAACTGACTTTACTCACTTCGAAAGTTTTTGAGATTTTACACAAATCTCCATTAAAAATATGTTGGAAGCTCTAAGAGCCTGTAACTTAGTTTGTCATTTAAATATAGTTTAATTGGTGAATAATAATATTTACTGCTCAAAAATTTTCAAATAATAGCTTAAATACATATACACAAGTACATTAATAGAAAAAAGGGAGAATAATTAATATTATTGATTTAACGTAAATAATGTTCTGGGAAGAAATCCATGCGGAAAAAAAGCATTTAATTAAATAGATAAAAAAGTATAAATTCTTAAAATAATTTCAACTTTGAACTAAACACACATTTTTAAGTAAGATTAGTTTATTTTAATTTTTAAAGACCCCCACTATTGATAGGTTTGACGACTATTCCCGAATTTTGACATCTGCGTTAAGAAAAAAATCAACTTTTTGCCTATGTTTTTACACAGGAAGCAAGTTAATTTTGAAGAATTTGCGAAATTTAGAAAATATGTTAAGTTTGGGTACTATGTAAAATTTCAAGAAACTAAATTTTTATGACTTTCCCGGATTACAATTTTTCTAAAATAAAGGTAAGTAAAGATTTTCTTATATAAAAACATGATAGAGAGTGTAACACTAATAAACACGATTTTTCATAAATTTTATTGGAAACTAATAGAGTACTGAATTTAAATTTAAATATTGAAGGCTAACCTTCCAGCTACATCCGTTATGT